AGGGACCTTGGAGGTCATCGAGTCCAACCCCCTGCCCAGGCAGGAACCCTACACCATTTCAGACAAACGGCTGTCCAGTCTCTTCTTAAAAACTTCCAGTGTTGGAGCATTCACCACTTCTGGAGGCAGGTTGTTCCACTGGTTAATTGTTCTAACTGTCAGGAAGTTTCTCCTTAGTTCTAGGTTGCTTCTCTCCTTGCTTAGTTTCCACCCATTGCTGTATATGTGAATTAATGGTAAACTGAATTACATTTTTGCCAATTTCTTAAAATGTGTCTTCTGAAGAACATATTTAATAGCACGGCAATGAACTTGTATTCAAAGAAAGTTCTAATCGACGGAGCACAAGCAACTAAAATGTATTTAATACACCTTGCTTCTGATATAAAACTGTACTGTTATCATACATTATATAACAATCTGGTTTTCTTGGAGCAGTGTTTTTTAATTTGATAAAACAGACATATTTTGCTTTGAAGGTCTATGTGGGAAGCAGACTAGGTAAGTCTTTCTTTGCAGTTTCTGCAAAGGCAGCATGACAAATATCGATCTCTTCTCAACCCCTTTTCTGCAAGCCATTCAGAAGTTACGAAAGAGGTAGATGCTTTGTTGGAGCCATGATGCTTCGATGTTTATCTCAAGAAAGACTGATGATCATCTGTCATAAACAAATTAAGTCTCATCACCTTTGCCTCATGAAATTAGAGGTATGAAGATGCAATGCCACAATTCACAATGTTTCATTTCAAAAGGAGGAAATTACTAAGTCTTCAAAGTTCTTTTGTGGAATGCAGAAGTTTACAAAAGTTTCCCCAAATCCCACAAAATATGCTTTCAAAGAGTATCCACTGTAATTTTTAATTCCATAATATTACACATGCTCCTCAACCTAGAAAAACCCCAAATGGGTGCTTTGGAAAAAAAAACAACAAAGCCCAGTTTTCCTAGGTTATATTCCTTGATTATAAGTTTTAGGAAAATCTCCTGATTCAAATTTGAGACACTTATTTTTTTAAAACTGATGGGCACATTCCATCAGTGGAAAATTGCCATCTTAAGCTTGGATAACTTCTTCCAGAATGTCTCATAGAGTTCACAGCTGCGCAGCTTCAACTAAAGGGCTTCTCTAAATTCGTCTTTTCAGGATTTTTGAAAGGTTTGAATAGTTCATATAGCTGAGGATATGAAACAGATTTTTTACAACTGGGAATTTCATTAATTACAGTATTAGAAATCCGTTTCTCATAAAATAGCTTCTGAACTTTCAAGTAAGATACCTGGGGCTTGATAAACCATTGCCAAATATAAAGATGTGTAAACTGATGAATATTCTTTTCAGCTTTGGTGAAAACTACAGTACGTTAACATAAATGTATACTACTTTATTCTTAGAATAGACCATTTGCTTATACTTAAGTGGTCTACTCTGCCAAAGCATATTATGCCTACCCTAGAAATGTACATTAATTAGCAGTGTTATTGACATAACCTATATTTATTCACAGAGTATTAAAAGGAATATTCTTACCTATATTCAGAAAATTAATCTTAGTAAGCTTAAATATGGTGGTAATGAACTTATTATGCTAATATCTAAAAATATAGGATGTCTAGGTAATGCGAAGAAAAAATATTGAAATGGATGGCACAGATAACAAAAGGGAGAGAGGTTTAGATGGTTTTTTTTAAAAAAGTGGGCAGGTTTATAGATGATTGGGCTACTAATGGTCTCTAATATCCATTTACTAAAATGCACTGGATCAGTGCCTCCTGAATCATAAAAGAGTTGACAGGTTACTGTGCCACAACACTATACAGCGGTTCTTGCCTTCTGTTCAAGGTTTGTGATCTTTGTAAATCAATCTTGTTCTCTATCTTGTGCCTTATGGCCAGTCAAAAAGACATAATCAAAGAAAGTCCGCAAGGAGAAGGGCGGGGTAAAAATTCAATAAATAAATAAAATAAAATAAATAAATAAATAAACAGTTGATGTTTTCCCAGGGACATATAATTCAATTTTTGGTCTAAAAGAGACCTGGGCATTTGAAGACACACCTCTGCAGAAGCAGCAATTTCCTGAATTCCTTTGGATGCAGCATCCTTTATGATAGGTGTAATGAAACCTTGGTCTGTTGCCGTAACTATAGAAATGTCTATAGATTGCAATTGCTGGGGGCCTTCTCCGTTCCAGGTCACGTTCACATCTGGCATTTGCTGGAAGAAATAGAAACAGAGGGAGGCACAGATGTTAAAAAATAGCAGTGAAACCAATTGTGAAGTTTTAAAAAGCCTTTTAAAATTGTGGCGATAGAGGCAATAGCAAATGGGAAATGATTTGCCTTAAGCAAGATCAAGTTAATAATAGCAAAAAAAGGCCAAATGACTCTAAAAATAGACTTATCCTATTAGTGTATATCAATTTTGTCACAAAAGATGAATGCAAATTATAGTCACGGGCAATTTACAGCTGCAGGCTACCACACGATAGATGGGCTTATGCAGTTTCTGGGTTACATTATTAACAGAATTCAAACTTGTTGGAGGGCAATTCTCATTTTGTTCCTTGCTAGTAAAGAACTGTGACATTCTGCCCCAAAACATAACAGAATATTTATAGAATTTCTGTTCCCATTTAAATCAGGAGGAGAAGAGAAAAGAGCTAAAAAATAAAAAATAAAAAGGAGTGGGAGGGAGTCACATAACGATATTGAAAGGAGAACCAATTAGATTGTCTAATTTGAATCCTTAATTTCAGAAGTCAACTCTTAACATTTTAAAATTCAGTTGGGTTTTTTAAAGGTTTTCCCCTTTAATATTCTGAGCTTTTACTAGAAGTAGACAGCTAATTTTAAAGATAGCATATTTGACTCTTCAATTCAATTTGTAGTATTCTTCTAATAAGCATTAGCCCACACTAATTCAATGAGAACCACACAGGCCTTAATCACACCAATGTATGCACTGATAAACTGTCACTGCTAATTTCTGTTTTCAGCTGCAATTTTTCACACCACATAATGTATGCAGCATAGAAGTCTCCCACAATATTCAGAATTGATTTTCACAGTCTATGAGTAGCTGAGTGGAAAAAGCAAGCAAACCCCCACAAAACTGTTTGAAAAGTCCTCCAACTTTGAAGCTGAAACATTATATCTTATCTTATAATTGTATCTTGTATCTTACCACTTATAAATAGTATTTTCTACTATCCACATAAAAGATTAAATTCAACACAAATGGCACACTAGTGAAAGATCCTTATGGATTAAGGAATTCTAAAATATACTATTAGACTCAATGTGAATGATGGGTTAGAAAAAAATAGCAATAGAAGGAATTAGTGGAAAATCAGTATTAGGTTTTCTTTATTATACTTATATTTAAATATCTTTATTATACTTATACTTTTATTTAAGGATTTTGCCTATTTTCTCCATAAAGGCAAACTAAACACATTACATCTTGACCTGAACTTAGATATACATGAATATCAAACATATATACTAAATACCAATATTCATGTAATGGCTTGTATTGTAATGAAATCCTAGATTAACTAAACTTAAAATGAAATTTTGGAAGGAATACTTGTTTCTTTCTCTAAGGAGCTAGAGATCCCTTATCAGTACAAATAATATTCACTGACTCAGAGACTATAAAGCTGTATAGCTATATATTATATGGTACAATAGTTGGAAAACAATAAAATGGAAAATATATTTAGCTTAAATGTGCCAATACTTGAAGGATATTGTAGAAAAGAAACATGGTGCCAGCTATCGCCAATATCAGTGTCCAAGATCCATAATATTTAATAAGAGGAATTACAATAATCTCAAATCTCATGATATTTTATAAAAGATTGTTGAAAACAGGTGGTTTCAAACCTAATGTAATGGTAAATGCACACACACACAAAAACCTTATAGATGTATTTGCTTAACATATTTTTTGAAACTTTTCTCCAAAGCAGGAATTGTTTAAAGATGCTTTGTATTTGGAAGCATTCACTGTATCTGTCTGGAACATAATCCCAGAAAAATATAGGTTTAAGAAATTGTTAAGGTAAAAGGAACCAGGTGTGTATATTTTGCAGGACTGATTACTTACTTTCAGGGTAACTGCAGTTGCCTTGATAATAAAGTCATTTATAGATACTTTAACATCATCTGTGTAAAAGAGAAGTTATAAGGCAAAGTTTAATAAGAAAAAATAGAATTCTAAACATGGACATCATATGGTTAAAACACTACAATTATTTATCTTCACAGCAGCATTTTCATAGTACCACAAATTTGAAATTCAGAATTTATTTGTGCTGTAACACAAGTTTCCTTTGGGGCTGAGCCCCACTCATCATGATTTCATGAACTTTGCTAATGCAGCTCTGCATGGTAGACTGGATCAGGAAACAGACACCACGAAGGCCTAAAATTACTTTTATCAGAATGACTATAGTAACAGAGTTTTGCAAATCCGAATATACCTTATGCGTTTTTGTAAATCTGTACCTTTATATGGGTTTAAGCCTGCTTATCTGTTCATTGCCTTGTAATTCCCTCTAACAAGGCCAGCCCCTCTATATCCTACACCTATGAACAATGCAGAAAAAGTCTGTCATTACCTGCTTCAATGGTTTTTTTTTTAAAAAAAACTTTCCACTTTACTTAATACCTGGTATTTTCCCATGCAAGGACCAAGCAATCTCTATGAGATTGTCCAAGCATACTGTAGAAAATTTAATTACAGAATTAAATAAAGTAAAAGTAAAGTAAAACCTTGAATTAATAGACTATCCAAGACAGGGGGATCCAATCTTTCCAAAATGTCTATTAAATGCAAAATCACATTAATGTCAATGTACATTTTTGTGGAATTTATAGATTATCGATTTCATTTCAAATAATGTTTTTTTCATGCCATGTTTAATAACATGTCAAGTCTCCAAGAATCAATCTTAACATCTGTTTTCATGCAAGCAACCCTGGTTTAAACTCATGTTTGTTTTGAATATCACTCCTGTAAGGATGAAATAAAAAAAAATGAAAATCTATATGCATACATGTATACATACATATGTGTGTGTTGTGTGTTATTTTTTTAAAATATAACAAACTGATACTTCTTGTTGTTTTTATTGTTTTTCACATTTTAAATACTTTGTAAACCAACCAGAACATGGCAGAATATAAATGAAATAAAATGAATTTGAACAAAATATAATGGAAGCAAAGTATTCAACCAAAATAGAACATAAAATCCCTTTTAATGTTAGTACTAAAACACAGCTGATGTGCAAACACAATTTTGTGAGCACAGAAGATTGGAACATCATAATAATTACACTTAATTGAACAGAAATTAACAGAACTACATTGTGTACAGATCTGTATAATGAAGCTGAAGTTGTTATTTTAGTAACATTAGGATATAATTCACATACTCATTCATAAATTATTGTTATAATTCATAATTTTAATAAGAGAAGCAAAGCAAGTAATCAGTGAATGAAAAATGTGCATTATAATTTTTTATAATTTGTAACTTTCATGCATCAATCTACTATTATTTCCAAATCTATTCTTAAATCTTAAAATAAGCTCCAAAAGAGGCACTATAAATCCTGTCATGCATGAAGTGGAAGAATCAAAATGATTGTTTTATATCTGTTCAGTCATAAATAGGTGACATCTCAAGTCTGTGATGCCTTTGAGGCTATTGCTATTTAAATGACATAAAGTCATCGACTAATCCTAAAATCAAGCTTACGGTAACAGAGAGGAACTTTACTGCAACTGCAAAGTCTAAAAGATTTAACTATTATAAAATCATTCCTTCTCGGTTAATAGTTAGCTTGATGATGCACACTGATTCTCTGTAGTTCTAAATTTTGAGAAGTAATAAATTTATTCTTATTTCTTCAGCTGAAAGAGATCAATCTCTGATCCATTTTTCTATATTACATTTTACAGCATGTAGCATTCTTTTCTTGTTAACATACTTCTTCACTATAGCAACTCTGATCATCTAAAATGATGCTGCAACCACAAATATAAGGTGTCTGAATCTGAATGAACAAAGTCAACAATTCAGTATAACAACAATTCAGTACTTTACAAGACTGGGTGAATATTATTTCTGTTTTAAATACCAGAAATTCATCCATTCAATTAAAACAGTACATATCTTGTTGGTTGGATTCTCTGGGCTTTGGGAGATCAATGCCAATATATTGATCAGGGTTTTTTTTGCAGATATTTGACCCCATGTCCCATCGAGTCTTCTCCGGTGCAAAATTCAGAAGAGGAACTGCCTGACTGTATTTGTAGTCTGCATAAGTTTTGAACGCAGGTGTTGGGTGGTGACTGAAGGTCTCTGATGACCAATCAACTTTTTAGTGACTTCAAACATTAACGGTCTCTTTAACAGATCAATGGATCTGGATATGATCTACCACCCAGTCAAGCACATGATCCAAACTATATACAACAAACAGATAAGGCACACCAACCAAAATGGAACTGACACCCAATTAATGACAATAAAGATGATCTTATCTTAACACTAGCTTTTTTAATTTGAAAGTTTCATATATTAATACTTGATAAATAGTTGATATGCTTAGTTTGTTCAGATTTTTTTTCTGTTTTCTCTTTTGCTTGTTACTGTTTGAAAAACTGAAAAGAGAAACTATAAAAGAATCGAAAAATTATATTCTACCACATGCAGATAATATGTTATGCTTTATAGACAAGTATAGAAAGTGGCTTTAACTTCTCACACTTTCAGGCTTATCACTAGGCAGTTACCCCAGCTTTGGTCACTAAATGGAATCAAGAACTTAGGTCTTCACCTATTCTTCGAGCTTAGCAAAATAATTATTGGACCATAGTGAAATCCTAAGAAACAGCCTAGCCTTAATAATCACTAAAATATTATATTATGGGATTTTCCCAGTTTTGAAAATGCAGGCAAATCTATCTTTTGGGTAAACTGGGCCTTTCATAGTACTATTATTTTAGATTATTAGATTAGCTGGGCCTTTAAACAACTTTTGCAGAATGAAAAAAATAAATCAGTTTTCCTTTAGAGTGCTTCTTGGCACAATATTCAGCTCAAGCCTTTGTTACACAGTCTATGAGGTCCAGTTGTTATTGCTACTTCTGGAAATTCCATAATGGATGGAAGTTATGGAAGAATCAATCACGGCTCCTAAGCCAACAGCCTTTCTTTTAATAGGAAATTGATGAATGAATTATTTGATTTGATTTCAGTCCCACCTGACTCCAAACTGACCCTAAGCAATTTACTAGTTACCAGTGCAACCTATAAGGAGGAATCTGGCAGTACAACAAAGATTTTTTTTATTAAAAAGCACTTTTGTGAGCCACAGTTCATTTCATAAAATGAGGTGAATTTCCTTTCCACTGAAACAAGTGGAAGGTTGCTTTAAATAATATGATACTCAATTCACTGCGATCTTAAATAAGGTCATTACAACAATAAAAATATTCTTCAAACCTCAGAGAATAATAAATAACATAGTAACTGCCTTGCTACGATGAAACTCATGAGTTGGAATATTAACTAGTAGGGTTTGGACTATCCCATGACTGTCATATTTTGGATTTAAACCAATTCAGTTGTGAATATAACTTTGGACGCCATCTGTGCATTAAAGAGGCATATATTCTCCTTGGCTTTTTCCCAGTGCTTGAAAAGTATCAAAGTTTCAAGATGTACAGTAAATATTTGGGCCATAGGGGCTGGATAAAAGAATTATACAACGCTATAATATTAACATTTGAAATGTTTATGTAGATTGGTTGTCTACCTTTGAAAGGCAAGGAAATGTTTGAGCAATATAGCAAAACATTTTGAATGTTCTCTTTGTAACTTAATCGCTTAGCCTTCTATTTTTCTTTTGCATTATTATATTACATTGTTAATACTGTTTTTATTCTGCTTTTGTTGTTAATTAATCCAATATAAGAAAGTAGGTTTAAATAAACACTCTTTTTAAATGTCACATCATCATGGTAAAATACTTTTGAAACTAAGGGATTTTTTTTATTTTAGAACACAATATCATATCACTAATACAAAGAAAAATATATTTTAAAAAATAAATATACGTGACAATATTTGCAGTATATCTTAATTAATGATTATCATATTTTTTATGCAGGCCTATCACATTTAGGCAAAGAATACTGACATGGAAGCAGAGCTAACTGTTGTGAAAACAGTGGATAGTCTGCGGTTTCTCTGGTTCTAAATTTAAATCAATAATATTTTGAAATCAGTTAAAATTCCTCCAAATCAATTATTCAACCTAGAACAGGGGTCCCCAACCCCCGGTCCGTGGACCAGTACCGGTCTGTGGCATGCCAGAAACTGGTCCGCATAAACAAGCAAAGCCCCATCTGAGGGATGCAGGCAGCACACAAAACCACACTTTCCAGTCCGCAGAAAAACCTTTTTCCACAGAACCAGTCCCTGGTGTCCAAAAGGTTGGGGACCCCTGACCTAGAACAGTGACTGTTCATTCTGCATGAACCTTTCCATACAAGTTTAAGAAAAAAGCTAAGTTCTAGAAAAATGTAGCCAACAATTAATACTGAATCTTTCTTTCTTTCTTTCTTTTCTTTCTTTCTTTCTTTCTTTTTCTTTCTTTCTTTCCTTCCTTCTTCTTTCTTTCTTTCTCTTTCCTTCCTTCCTTTTTTTCTAACTACTGTAATGAACATAGCTTACCAGAATTAAGAAAAAAATATGGCACACATATTCAAACTCTATGCAAAGCAATAAGCAGCAACAGAAATCTCTTGCTGGCAAATTAAAAGCTGGAATTCTGTCTTCCCCACCCCCACTATCACTTGCAGTGTTACTGAGTAAAAAGTATTCAAAAAACAAAAATAAAACTCACCAGGGCTGGCTGAAGTGAAAAACATCATCATTTAAATAATCGTACCTGTTTAGAATACTAATGAAAGAATTTGCCCTCTGCACCTCCTAAGGCTGCTAATTAAGTGGTAACCTTGAAATGCTTCGTTCAAAATATAAAACCGTTCAAGTGAATAGGTTTATAGTGGAATTTGCAGATTCTTTTTGTGGGTAGGTGTACAATTGCTTAACTCTTAAGCAAAAAAAAAAATTAAATAGAAATTCTCTGCATGTGACAACAACAGCAGGACAGTTGTCATCAAAACCAATTAACAAATATCCATGCTAAATGTTGAATTGCAAGATATGTCACTCATGCGAACAAAAATACTCATCTACATATAAGATCAAAGGCAGAATTTTGACAGGTGTTTTTTTTCCCCCCTGAAAAGCTCAAGAAGCCCCTGTGGTAAATGCAGCATAGCTGAGTAGACAGATCTGAATTTAATAGATGGTTTTAAAAAATAGGAAAGAGTTTTACCTTTTGCCAGCTCTTGCCTTAGATTTAGTATAGCACCAAGGTCACAATCAGCCGATGCATATGCATGAGGTACAGTGGTCTTTGATTCTGTTAGTTTCTTAGCAATAACTCTTCTTGTGTCACTAGCAGGGATTTCAGTGAACGGGCTCTTGCAATAAAAACACATTTTACATATTGAATTAAAGGAAGAAAGATGATTTCAATGAAATAGGATCCATGACAATAAAAGACATCCTTTAAACCATAACATTTAGTGGAGGAAAAACTGGGTTTTAATATATAATGTTTTCTAAATAACTATGTTGCCAATTATAGCTTTCTTAAATCAAAATGAATATTCTAATCTACATGGGCATATAAACTACAAGGCATGTATAAATATTCATTACAATTCTCACTGAAGTCCACCCAGAATCATAACAGATTGGTGTGTCCTTAAGATGCATAAATAAATAAAACTCTAAATTGAATTCTAAAACCCTACTGGTATAACTCTTACCATTTATTTTTATATAATGTGATGCAGTGATCTTAGCCTATCTATAAATCTGAGAAAGTTAATACCATGGAAGCTAGCCGGCCAGGAACAGAGACAGGGGCAACTGGAGGACGTGAAGCTTTAATGGGCATGCTCGCTGATGGTGCAGATAAAGGCATTCCAGCTTGGTGTAGGGGAAGTGAAGAAACCACGGATTTTGCTTCTGCAGGCTTTTGCTTCAGCTTCTGTTCTATAAGCTTGAGGGCATCCCTGTCAATTCAAAGACAAATGTGGAAAGGTTTAAGACCCATTTCAATTCTAATGAAGTACAATTATGTCTATAAAATAATCGCTGCAAAGCACAAAGGCCTATTGTGTTATGGTCCATGGGGTCGTGAAAAGTCGGACACAACTTAGCGATTGAACAACAATAACAACAAAGCACAACAATCAAAGAAATTAGAATAACACAATAAAAGATGACAACAATAAAAGAGGGCAAGACCAACAGACTGGAGGGAACAAAACAAGGGTCCCATTCTCCTTTGCTAAGGTGAAGAGCCAGGTCTTTGTAGCTCTTCTAAAACAGCAGCAGAGCGTGGGCCATCTCAAAAGGATCTTTGTTCCTGTTTGTTCCAGAGAGAGCAGGCACTACTAGAAAAGGCATTCTTCTGGGGTCCCGGACAAATTGTATTAATAACGAATTGTAATAAGTGAGCGAACCTAGATTGTGCCAATTCTTGCATATCAAATTGGCTAGGCAGATACTATGGAAGACAGGCAGTCCCAGAAGCAACCATTTGGAACCAGGCCGTGGAAGCAGCGGGTGAGCACATGCATCCCCACTTGCACGAGCAGTGAGTGAGCACTTGTGCTTCATTTGCATGAGCGATGGGTGCGTGTGCCTGCTGCTGACGCAAATGGAGCTGCATGCCCTTGTTGGTCGCTTGCGTGGAACCATCCTCTCTTCCCCTCCTGTTAGTTTGCAAAGCCAGAACTCTACACTAAGGTACAATGAGCGTAAACTTTGTATTTATTAGCATGATATGAAAATCCTGTTCTAGTTTCTAGAACTGGATATTCAATAATTTGATTGATGCATTTGAAAGTCTGTATTGCCACAAAGTAAGGTAGGAATGCTGACAGGAAGTCTATCATTTCTCTATCTACTTCTGCCACAAAAATGTGTGGGATGAAATTCCTAAAACTACTGAAAAAGGGAGCTATTGTATGCTTCCCACTTGCTTCCAAATTCTGACTTTGGTAATGGACACAGGTCAAGCTCTTAATGTTTGAGGAAGTGAATCAAATTCCTCCTAAGTATTTGGTTTGAGTGCAACAACGGCCATAAATAATTTGGGGAAAGGTAGCACTGACAGTATTGCAATCTCCTTCTGCCACTCAGCTAATCATGAGGAGGAAAAAGAAGAGATCAAAGTAAGTTGAGAGGAAGCAACTAACTTTCATTTTTAATGTGTGCCATTGTGCCCACAGGAAAAAATGACTATAAAGGTTATCTATAACCATCTATCTATAACCAATCTATCTAATACTCTGGCATAATAGTCAATTTCTCTACAAACACTTCAAATGAGGAACCCACTGAGCAAAATCTCAGTTTACAACAGCATTTCTGGTAAGAAAGAAGGAAAGAAAAGAGATGGGGAATATATTTTTCCAGTCACTTTAATTTTTGTTTCACTTTGGAGATTATCATTAATTTATTCTTCTGCATTCACTGTCTTGCATTTTCAACACAGCTATATAAAAAACAGAAAGCTGCTCTATGCAGAAATGGGGTTTTCTTTGTTAAGGGTTCATTCATTCACATCATGTAGTATGCCAAGATATGTGTCCTCATTTCTTCTCCCTGTCTTTGATCTAATGGATTATATCTTTTCATACCATTACACGAATTTATTTAAGCACGTTGGAAACAATAAAAGCAATTTATTGCTTTCCAATGTTGAAAATGCTTTGGAGATGCTTTGCTGATTTCTTGAGAAATCAGGTTCTCCCATCCTCTCTTAGAGAGAAGTGCCTTATCAGCTACTGTATGCTTTAAGCAAACATCAGAATCTACCTAACAATGACTAATGCTAGTTAAGTATTCAGCCATGGCACTTTCACTCATAGCAGGAGAAGAAGAAAAAATCTCCTCCCCCACCCCATTCCTGACTTTGGATTGTTTTCTTAACTGTGATAATAATTAAGAAATTACATTGTTTTCTTAGTTAACCCTTATTTTGAACTTGTGACTACTAATGAATATGCAGAAGACATTCATCCACAGATGTGGTGATGACTGCTAGCTTTGATCGCTTAATGACATCTACAGTTTCATGGAAAATATGCCTTTTAGCAGCCATTGGAAAAGCCAATTAAATGGGACATCAATGGTCATGCTGGCTGAGGAATTCTGGGAGTTGAAGTCCACAAGTCATAAAAGGGCCAAGTTTGAAGACCCCTGCTCTAGGAACTCAACTCTGTATATCCACCAAGCCCTCCTGAAATTGGCTGAACAAAAAGTAATTGGTGTGAAGTCATCCTTTTAAGATTCCACTGCTGAGTGTAGATTTGATCTCTCTCAATCCAGCAACCCTAAACATACTTGTCGCACTGACTCCAAAACAGTGATAAACAACTCCACTATTTTGTCATGTCTACCCATTTGTTTAATTATGTTCTTCTAACTACATGCACTATTTTGAAATATGTTTAACAAAAAATGGCAAATAAAGCTTTTTTAATTACACTACACTTAGACATCACTGGTAATGCAAGCATGTGTGCCTGATATATTTGTTTTAAACTATATATAAAAGAAAAAGAACTCAAAGTGATTATAAGAACATCCATATTATGGAATAATTGCTATTTTAATTGCTTATTTAATAAAGCAGTAACATTTTATGGAAAACAATTTTCTTAACTGAAAAAGCAATTACTATTATGTGCAGAGATAATCAGAAATAATGAGCAATTTTAAGTATCTTTTAGAAAGTTTATACCATCAACTTCTTTGTTATTTGTTTTAATTTATACAAGATTTGAAAGGTGACATTTTCATCCAAATTTTTAATCTGCAAAA